TAATTTGAAGACTCGGCCCTTTGAAGTCGATTACAGATCTCCCTTATTTTACGACTCACAGATCAGTGGATGAGATAGGAATAGAGGCAAAACCTGTAATGCATTCAAGCACTTCGAATATCTTGCGCCCAGGTCGAATCGAAAGAACAACACTGGATGATAACCAACATAACCTCCCCCCCCCCCCCCCCCCCAAATAATAATAATAAAAAAACTAGACCATGCAGGTCTTGACAGATGTAGGAATAAGAAAAATCTATTCGTAGTAATTCATATATATATAAGCCAACAAAACCGCGATAAATTGAAGCAGGAATGATTTTTGATGATAATGATCATGAGGCAGCCAAATACCTTAGGGAAACTGAATACAATACTGAGTTCAATTACATTATTTAGAATGCCATTTACATGGAGATGGCGAAAAAGATATACGAAAAACGTGGCCGGCATGATCATTGAGAAAGAAGCCATAGTTAACTACTTCTCAAGGAAATAATCTTCTAGATGAACGATGTAAAGAACTCGAGCATTGGCGGTAGAAATTGGCAAACAAAGTTATTCGCCGGCGTATCGAATATATATAAATATAATAGCATTGCTATCTCACTACACATGGATAACAAAAATACAACAACATACATCTTAATCTACATTTACACGAAAAAAACCCCCAAGACGTGTGGAGTTGATTGAAAAATGGCGGGAAATCATTGACATTGTCATAGCAATAAGAAAAATGAAATGAAATACGTTTGAATTCGGGAAAAATAGAGGCGATTAATAATAATTATATGTATCGGTCTTTCCTTGTTTATATTGTTTATTTTGTTAACTTTTGACGAGAAGATGAAGATAAGGCTGCATTCATAATGCATGGCAGGGGGGGGGGTCAGGTGAAAATTTGAAACACCCCCCTTAAAGTCATGCAAAAAATACGATCCCCCCATAAGCAAGGCTTGTAGCTTCTTCCAAAAATTGTGCATCCCCTCATTTTTCTGATAAAAATTTTCCCATCCCCCCTTGTTCCTACCAAAATTTTCCCGATCCCCCCTCAATTTCACCTGCCCTCCCCTCCCCCTCTGCCATACATTATGAACGCAGCCTAAAGATCTATCTCAGGGATCAGGATTTATTCCATTCCCTTTTAATTCAGTGAATTCCGAATCAACAGGAGTTCAATGAAAATCTCGGGCTATGAGATTTCTGTATTATCCTACATGTTTAAAAATAAACATCCGAAACCTGGCAAGCGTTCAAGCAGATATACATATCTTGATTTGATTCGATAAGTTGTTAAGAAAATTTTCTCAGTCCATGTTTCTATTTTTGACGCGCTTGCATGGAAATAAATTATCTCTGTTACCCGAAATACTTTAACTTAAAGTGGATTTGAAGGCATCTTTACAGTTAGAGTTCTAGAAATGTCTTCCGTTAAACAAAAACTAATACCAAATATGGGAAACGTGAAAAGTATTCTTTTAAATAGCTAGGTAAATATCTTTGAAGGGGGCTTAAATTGTACTCTGTTAGACTTACATAATGAAAGTATCGTGAGTACAAAATCGTATTATTGGTTATCGATGCCAAGTCTTAGCAGTGAGGGTGTTATGGGCGTTATTGCTTGAAGCTCTTATATAACGACGTCAAAGGAAGAGAATAATTTCCTCTGACTGATGTTGCCAAAAAATAAATAAATAATAATAATAAATAAATAAAAATGTAAAAGTGAAAAAGAGAACAAAGCGAAACCGCTGAATTAGCTTTTGTACAAGTTTAGCTTTTTGTTGATTTTTCTCTGGTAAAATCGATTTTATTTATTATCATTTACTTCCTTATTTATTTACTTATTATTTTTTAGTTATTGATTAACTTACTCATTAGTTTGTTATTTTATTAATTTATAAACTTGTTTTGTTATTAATTAATTATTTATTTAATTTTTTTGTCTATTTATTCATTCATTATTTATTTATTATACAAATTGAATCGATTTATTTTTTTCATGAATTGAAGTCCACTTGACGGCGTTTTATCGGTTTTCTTACTTTACTATCTAAAATTTGTAACTAAAACTGTTTTGTATTCTAGAACGTTCGCCTGAAGTGCTAGACTACCATCTCTCCAATTGAGAAAAGTATGGATAAAATATGAATGAAGAGACAGGGAGAGGGAAGGTCTGAAAGCTATGATGCCTACCTAACTTGTGATGGAGATATGTCTTTAAGATTAATCCCAAGCATTTTTTCACTTAAAAATAGTATTAGAAAAAAAAAAACAAACTAGAAAAGCTATTCCCGTCCCTGCTTCTTTCTCTACATACAGCTAAAGCACACACCACTTCAGACACATGACACCAAGAAAAATGACTCCAGTAATTAATCCTAAAAATTGGTAAACGAAATCCAAAATGTCCCATGGCGAAAAGCAATTTTTACCACATGAATTTTCTCGTTTTCTGTTTGGTCTAGAGCCGGGGGAGATAGGAGGTCAGCAAATAACGCGCGCGCTTGAAACCGTTTTTATCTCAAATTTTACCTTATTTTCGTGGTAAAATTTTTAATTTTCTGTGGTAAAAAAGAAAAAAGAAGGGAAAAAAAAGAAAAAAAAAATCTTCCAGTTTTCTTTCCTTGTTATGTCCTCTTATTTACCACTATTTTCGTCAACTAGCCGTCAAAATATGTTGTGGACTCCCTCGGCTACGCCTGTGAATCAACAACATTTTGACGGCTAGATGAAGAAAATCGTGAAAAATAAGAGGATATAGCACGGAAAACTGGAGGAAATTGGTTAATTTTCAAGAAATTCATGTTGAAGACGACTGAATGTTTTGAATAATTCCCACATTTTATGACGAAGGTAAAATGCATGTTCTCGTTCTCTTTTGGTGTGTGTGATTAAACTTTTCCCCCCGAAAAGAATAGTAGAATAGCTTCTTATTACCTGAAATATTGCGATTTAAAAACAAAATCTTAGAAGAATATTTTGACATTTTGTTTGTTTTTGAATAGAGTGAAGAAAGAAAATATGATAAAATTCTTAATCGGAAATTTAAAAATCTTTCTTATTTGGCAAATAAAAAAGAAATTTAAAAAAGTTTATTTTCAGATTAATAGTTTTATCATATTTTCTTTCTTCACTCTATTCAAAGACTAGAGCTTCAAGAATTGGATATATTTACTTGTAAGTCAAAACTCCATAAATACCAGGATAACTGGATATACTTACACACACACAAAAGCCTTCAAGAAAGTTCATTTGAAGCTTAGAGTCTTTCTAGTCCTTGAATCCCTCTTCAAGCCACACTTATTAAGAAGGAAGTGGATGAAGTTTGGTGTTATGATTTGGGGTTAATTTACATATTAGAAGTAAAACTAGATATACGAATATGATTATGATATCATGAGTTGACGTTAGACAGCTATATATTGGTCAAGTTATAGCCAACATTCTGGGCAGCTATTTATCTCGATACCTAAAACACAGACAGAATTTATTAGTAATTCATCCTCGTTCCAATTGCATTGCCCAGAGGTTCATGTCTCGAAAGTTCGGCGCCGTTCGGGAAAAAAGAGAAGGAAAAAAAAAGAAAAAAAAAAAAAAAGAAAATTCAAAAACCTCGTAACAGAAGAGAATCAATAACAATGCTACTCGATCAAGGCCAACCCGTAAACACAGAATCTTACTCCAATAGTGCTTCCTCAATTTATTCCCTTGATTTCGGGAATATTCTTTTTCCCTCGGATAAATTTGAAAACGGATTTGTTTTCTTTGCGGATTAGCCTCGAAAACCCAACTTTTCGCAAACGTCTACGTGTGGACTGGCAAAAACGATTCGAAAACGCCACGGTGAGGACGTGAATTATTTTGAAAAAGGAATAAAAAATCATGATTTCATTTCTAGAAATATCGGGATAATTGCGGACGGGTCCTTATTTCGTTCACATTCAGCTAGATCTAGATTGCGTTTTAAGATTTGCCTTTTTGATTTTTTCATGTAAGCATGCCGCATGTAATCATGACGAAAGATCAGATGAGCAACACTCAGTCTTCATGTACCTGCATGTAGTAGCCAGGAAAATACCCAATTATGCTTAATTTGTCATCTAATTTTTCAACTTCTGCCATAAGTCATAAAATCGGTCATTTCTCGCCGGGTAGAAGATGTTCCTTTCTAGATAATTCGTGATTGATAGCCTGATTTGCAATGCTAGGTGATGATATTATATGATATCTTTTTCCACGTACTTTTGCTTGCGTATTGTACTATATTGACTTGCAAATATGAACTAAAAGAGTGAATCTTACTAATAGCGTGAGATATAGGCGGGTATAACAAGAAAATGAAAAGAAAAATACTACGAAAAGTACTGACACACCTTGTGAGCTTCGAACTCTCAAATAACGTTTGAAAATCCTTCAAGACGCAGTACTAACACAGTTTTCCTTTGCAAATAATCCGTCAACAACTCTAGAGAGACAAGCTCTCCATAGCACAATTCTCACAAACAGGAGTAAGAGTCGAGTCTCGCCTTCAGGCAAAGTCCATTGTATTAGGTAAACAAATGCCTATCAGTTCAAGTGCTTTTTCTTCGCAGGTTGGTTCTTCCTTTACGAAGCTGGTCAAACAAGCCCTAAGGGAAATTTATTGTTTATTGATGCAATCTTTTATCTCCTTCATCGATGCTGGCTGGTATATTAGAGTAGTTTTAGTCAATGATCTTAAGGCATAGAAGAAAAATATCATAGACAAAATTTAGGAGTAAAAATAGATTGTCTTAACACGAACAAAGTCAGTGTTGTGATCTGTAGTCAGTACGATGAAATACGAGGGAAATGGTTTTGTGGGTGATCGCGGGATTCGTGGACTTTTATATTTAATATTTAATCAATCAATTATTAGGAGAACCAAATGAACAGGTTTCCAATTACACAGCCCGAGACTAGGTGTTACCCTATTCATTATTATTATTTTCGAGTTGTTTTTGGGAGGCTAGCCAAGCAATTCCCCCCACCCCTCCCCTTCCTGGATCCACCCTTGAACAAGATGACGTAGCATTATACAAAGTGTCAGGTACCGATGTGCGTTGAAGTAGGATTGTGTGCCTCAGCAATTAGTTGCCTCGATTAACATGCTTAACTAACGTAAAATCGAAGTAACAACTAATATATTAAACTAGTCTTTTGGATTTCACAAAATAAATAAGCAAAAACAGAAATCTAAATTGCCCTTGCTTTATAGAGGAAGAAACCATAACCATATTCAGTGTTCTTATTGGCTTAGAGTTCGAGCTATTTTCGGATCATGTGACAAGTCACGTGAACATAGGTCATGAATCACGTGATCATAAGCCTTTTGTAAAACTTCAACAATCTAGGTCCCGGATTCATATTTGGATATTGAAAAAGGATGTTCTTATTTGTGCTATCATGCAATTACGGTTATTTTCAAGAAAATCGCAACGATGTCTTTACTGTCTTAAGAAATAATACTCAATGGAATGACATGTAATTTTTAACGGTAATCACTACGCTAATACTGGGTTGGTGTACAGCGTCATGTTCAAGGTGGAGTAGAGGATGATAAGCCTAGATATCTCATCTATGTATCTCATATCAAGAAAAGATTATGTTATTACTCGTAATCAGATGTGGAACAGCAATGCATAAGTCCCATTGGCGATATTGCACGTGAGAAAATCCTATATACCGAGACAACGTTTCCGAATTATAGGACGCTTTCTCGGTGAACTAATACTCAATCAAAGATGGCCGCCGAGGAAAAAGCTATATTTTGTCTTCAAATTTCGATTTGAAACGATACTACTCATGCCCAGTCCCTTCAGAGCAGAAAGCGTACATGAAAGAGATGTCTGCTGACTACCGTGGTATACGGTCAAGACACGGTTTGCGTGCTTCTCAACATGTTATGGGAAATCTATATCGAAATTTATTTTCTTAAATCGTGTCTAAATTGGACTCYCTGTGCATTGCTGTTTCCTGTGACCTTCTCCTGTGACGTCAAGACACGGTTGCGTGCTTCTGGACATGTTATGGGAAATCTACATTGGAATTTATTTGCTTAAATTGTGTCTAAATTGGACTCCATGTACAGAGCTGTTCCTGTGATCTTCCTGAATCACTTGTAACTGCAAGGCACTTCGACTTAAGTGATAGTCTTTTTTATCTTGCAGATTTGTGTGTCAAACTCATGATGGCAGATCACATTGTTTGGCTCCTGAAATAACTTTTATCTCCAAGTCTATCAACCCTTTTAACTTCAATCAGGCTATGTTTAATAATAATAATAATAATAATAATAATAATAATAATAATAATAATAATAATAATAATAATAAAAAAAACTTATTAGCAATTTAAATAGTGATTATAGCCACGTAAAGTTTGTTAATCTTTCAATAAGTTCCCTCGGAGTATTTTCTAGTGATTGTGCAACATTTATTGAAATGTTAGAAAATGTAGGTTTCGACAAAAACCAACGTAAATATGTAATAAGGAAAATTATGAACATTGCTATTCGAACAGCTTATTATATATTTTGCTGTAGAAACAAAGATTGGATGGAGTTTTAACTTTGGTGCTACAACTAAATGTGAAAAAAAAAGTATGATTAATGTTTTTAGTATCTTTCCTGTACTTATAAGTAAAAGATTCAAGTAGCTAATCGTAAATTGCCTACATATAGCGAGATTTACGATGAAATTTGGAAAACATAATAAAGTTTACATTATTTTAAGAGTTTCTTTGTTCGTGGGAGTCATGAAAAAAGTACAAAAAAGTAGTAAATGCAATATAAAACTAAATAAAATTATTTACAAAGAATGAGCTAATTTGAAGAGATAAGTTTAAGTTCAGTTTTGAATGAGGCCAGACTTGGATATACATATATTATATATTTTATATTATACATTAGATATTTATCTACATAAAACAAGCAGGTGTGTGAACTATGCACTTAATGTTCGTTTATTTGTCATTAATGAGCCCATGTAAGTGTGTTGGCATCTGAATAGTAAGCGCTCTTTCTGCGCATGCGCAAGTTAGATATAGAAATAGATATATAGAGGATATTACATGGGCGCGCGGAGATACGAAATTTATCTTCGAGTGTTGAAAAGATCTCTCACAAGTGAGCGCAGCGAACGAGTGAGAGATTTTCAACACGAGAAGATAAATTTCGTATCTCCAAGCGCCCATGTAATATTCTGTTTATTATATAATTATCTATGAAGTATGTTTTGACTTTTTCAGGCAACTCTTTCCGTGTGTTTTTGAATAGCCATCGCAATGGTGTTATTTTCACACGTGAAAATAACATGTTATTTTCACGTGTGAAGATATCAATTTTTCGAAAATTTTCAGCTTTTTAAAGAGTATAGATAATCTTAATGTATAGATAAGGCATTCCCAACCTCTAAAATTTGATTTATGCTTCTAGATTAGGATTTCTGAGAAATTTTTTATTTTGGAAAATCCGGAACCGAGCATGCTTGGAAAGGACTGGACTTCGGTTTAAACTGGATCGTGCGGATCGCAAATCGTTTTTTTACGTCTAATTTGCAGCTTTTGTCCTATAATATTTATTTTAATATTTATAACCAGTAGTTATATGCTAAAATTTTGCACAAAAAAAAAAAAAAAAAAAAAAAAAAAAAAAAAAAACACTTCCCCTTCCCATCTAAACACAACTCAAACTAAATCACTTCCCCCCTCCCCCTTCGCAATGTTGAGATGACCAGCTTCTGATTTGAGTGAGCGGCAATACGCTATAGCTTTACTCTCACCTACTTTAACACATACATAATATATAAGCGCAGAAACTAAAACGCTACGAAGTTAATTTGAATTTATATGTTTAGATCAGTTTGAAGAGAAAAAAACAAACTGAAAAGTTGGACAAACGAAATAAGGAAATCAAGCCATCGAATCAAAACAGAAAATGAGCTGAAATCAAAACATAGCGTATGATTATGAAAAACAATATAACCCAATACATTTCATGCTTCAAAAGTATCGGTAAACGACCTATTAAAGTATAATAAATGAATAAACTAATGAGTATTAATAATAGAAACGAAACCTTACCAAGTCGAAAACAACAGATGACAATTCATTCGACGCTCACGAACTAGTAGAGTTAACGGTATTTTGGGGGGAAAGACTGTGTAGGTGAAAAGAAATCTGAAGTAGTTAAAAAAATATAAGACATGATGACGCTAAGCTGTCTTCTTTAACAGCATCAAAAGAAATAAAAGACATTTACAAAACTTATCATCGATAATTTAACCAATCGCGTGCAAATCTCCTGAGAAGTCCATTTATTGAAAAAAATACAGCGTCTGCAGAATCATATATTTTGACTAGCAAATTCATAAAGTTTTTGTTTCAAGTTGCTAATGTTATCAAGTTATTGTCTGTTGAGCTGTATTTACTAGATAATCCTTTATGTCAGTGTATCCAAAGGAAAAGCACTCAAACCTGATTGCATCCATCAGATCAATCCCGGCCCCATATTGACGTCCATGTTTAGAGTGCCTTGTAAGGACATACTTTCTAAGCTTTTTTGTATTCTATTTTAGGACTTTTTAGGTAGACCAAAAAAAAGTCACATCTTCTAATAATAGTAGCCGCAAGCAGAATGTTCTGTGAAATTAGACCAGATCGATTATCGAGATTTGATTGATCGCACGCACTCTTGTAAAAAGTACACTACGGACATAAGCGTTTTTATCGTAGGAGATTTAAGAACAAGTGAATTTATCTCAGTTTTTGAAATAAAAATATCGAGGAAAATACTTCTATTACAGCTTTAATTGATTAGTAAGACTTGATTGATTTTGACGTTCTCGTAATGCCTTGTGAGGTTGTAGTTTTGAGCGTTTACTTCTATCGTTTGAGTTGTTCGCGGAAAAAGAAAATATAAAACCAGAATTTGGAACCAACATATTATTTTAGGATCGGGTTAGATTGAGAGGCGTACGTGCGACGTGCTTAGCGAGAAGTGATTTACGAAAGGCACTACAGGATCTATCTATCGATGCCCTTATCTGATTTATTATGTCAAATCTTACGAATCTTGCCAAAAACCATCCGGAATTAACACTAAGCAAATTGACTGAGGTCCTTCAACTTAATACAAAGCGAAAAGACATGGGCGAAGAGTAATCTTAAGATAAACCAAGTGAAAAACGAGAAGAGGAAAGAGGATGTAGTAGAATGACAGACGAGAGTCAAAGCTTATGAATAATTCTGGCATTTACATAATAAATAAACAACAAATACAAAAAATGTAAATTTTAACTTAAATAAGAAGTAAGAAAGAAACAGTGAAAAAAGGTAAAAAAAATATTTTAAAGATGTAAGTAATAAAAAGAAAGGACGGGGAAAAAATAAGAAAGAATGAGAATATAAGTGAGAAAGGAGCAACAATGGTAGGCAAAAGTTAATTACTTTAGTTTTTTAAAATATTCGTTTCTTTCTTTTTTTTTTTTTTTTTTTTTGTCGCTTAAGTTTTACCCCCAGCAAAACAATAATCTAATTAGAATATAAATGAGAAGAAATTTTGAATAAAATTTTGATAACTATTAAAAGTAATGTATAAGGTTATTGGCTTGCTAAACCTTCCAGCGATTGAAAATTACAGCCAGCTGATGCAAGGCGATCATAAAAAAACGAGAGCGTATTCAAATAATGTTCTACATCACAGGAGATTGTGAACAGCTTTGAACAGTCAAGTTTACTCCAATCGGGTTAAACTCTCAACCACGAAATACCAATACGACAGACAGACAGACATTTTCAAAAGAGTATCATATTTCTACAAAAGGGTGGAAAAGGATGAAAAACGAAAACGAAAAAATGCCAGGCAAAAATTCCGGAGATCGACGACTAGTTATTAATGTTGGAGGACGAAGATATGAAACATTTCAAAGCACTTTGACAAGTATTCCTGATACTCGACTAGCATGGATCGCTGGCCAGCCACATGAAGCTCCCGAATACGACAAGATGAATAATGAGTTTTTCTTTGACAGACATTCAGGTTTTTTTGAGGAAATCCTCAATTATTACAGAACAGGAAAACTCCACTGCCCAAGAGGGATTTGTGGAACAGCGTTTGAAGAGGAGTTATCGTTCTGGGGAATCGATGAGGAACAAATGGAAGCATGTTGTTGGCCTGAATACACTCGGCAAAGAACAGCCATTGAAAACTTACGTGTGTTCAACATCAATGCCTCACAAGAAAGCATCAATTCTGAAGCCAGCGATGCTTCTTGCAAAACGTCTTCTTATCTACGCAAAACGTCAGTGGACAGACAAAGCTTGCGGAATTTCTATAGAAAGGTTCAGCCATGGTTTTGGAGGGTACTTGAAGAACCGTTTTCGTCGGTCGCTGCTAAGGTAACGCTCAATACTCCTGACAAATCCATAAAGTCCGTGAATCTGTTATAATTTAAATAACTCGTAAACTATCTTACCTTATCTTACGACAGATTCCACCATAACTAAATTAGTTTTTACATAATAGAGTCAAAATTGCCAATTTTTTTCATACTTTTTTTCTCCTATTCTGTATTTTTTCTGAGTGCTTATTTCGAACGCACTCTCTCGTTAGAGGAAGTTGATATTTATTGCATTATTTACGTTCACATTGGACTTTTTTATTTAACTCAGGCTTGTATTAGGACTAGTCAGACTTCCCTCCCTAGAATTCAGTCGAACCACAAAAACAGTTGGTCCAAGCGGTTTCTAACTTAATGAAAACAAAAAAGACGTTTAAACTCTGGGTAGAACAAAGTCGAAAAAGCGATAACATCGCAGAACTCATATTCACTTAGTTTCTATTAATAATACTACAATATTGCAGTTTGCAGTCCGAAAAATGACAAACATTTCACCAGTGTTAGGTTTTGTAAATATCAAAATTGTTCCGTGTTCAAACTAGAAAACAAATTACAAATGAACCACAACATTCAACAAACAATTACGAACGACAGAAAGGGATTTTATTTAGAGCGGCTCGAGGCAGCTGGCAGCGTTTCCTTTCCTTTTTAGTTTGCAAATGCCTGGCATAATCAACGACAAAACCTCATCCATAAACACCTCTAGCGACCTATTTTCCTGAATTAGTGATATCTTTAAAAATATTAATATGATCTGACGGGAAGTGTATTGTGGACTAAAACATTTATTTTGCTTATGTATAATGCAGATATGAAATTCTTCCTTTTCAGCAAGAATTAAGTATCGTTCATCGTTCCCGCAGAAATAGACGCGCGGCCGTTCCCGCCAAAATTCTTTAACGAATATCCATCGTCCTTTTCATATTTTTGCCGTTACAGATTAAAAAATGAACGTAAATGAAGCTGTTTACAAAATAATATTCGAGTTATTTGATCTCATACAAACCTGATATTATGGTTTTTGCTCCGCCTTTTTCATTCACTAGAATGTGTTAAAGTCTTTTGGCTTGCTGATATTAATTTGATGCCATCTAAAGACGTTTATTAAGACCAAATCGATTCAAAATGGTTTTGCAGAACAAATAAAATACCAAAGAAAATGATTGTATTTGAATCTACCACGGTGTCGAAGTCTGAAGCCTCTGGAAATCAAGAACCAAGGTTATATCGGTCTACAGGATAAGACCAGCTAAAAAACTCGAAATCGCATACATACATACATATGTAGAGAATATCTATATCTAATTCAGACAACAATAAACAATCAATGACCACAAAACATGTCGGCTAACGTGAAAGCGAGAAAAGATCCCACTTCCTTGCTTTTCCTCAGTGCTCTTAGGTTTTTTTAAAATATTGTTCTTTGAAATTTCTAAGTAGTAGTTATCGGTTTGTTTATCTTCATTTGAGAGTAGCTGATTTGTTAAGCGGCTTAGAAGAAAATCTTAAGAGATACTCGATTGTTTTACATGTTCAGTAGCTTTCCTTTCTACGTAACGACCCTCGTATTTCAAATTTATGTTTTACTGTAAGAAGGTTATCGCAATTTCTAGCAATAAATCAAAAGTTTATAATTGGATTATTTTGGCTTAACACACTGAAATATCAATACCCTTCATGCAAGAGTCCAGTGAATTCGTACTAAAATATCTAAGTACTGTTCAAACTCGTGATTTACAAATTTGTACTCTTAATATTGACTAGGCAAGGAAAACTGTCATTGCCTTTAGTTTTACCATCAGAACCATTAACAATACATAGACAACACCCTTGATCTGATTTTAGTTCAATTTACAGGTTTGAATCATTAATTCCGTGTTAGCTAAATGCCTTAAGTACTATATGCTGGTGAAAAGTTCGTTTTACTCGAAGATTCTGATTTTCTTGGATGTGCCAGAGCCACCGCATACAGCGACTCAATTACTTCCAACGTAAAATCTTGATTAGGATTTCTCGTGAAAGGTTTTTAATTGGAGATCGCAGTTAGAGTCCCGAGTGCTTTATTTGTTCTGGAGGATTTTTGTGACAATATAAAGGAGTTAAAAGAATTGGTGGGTTTTTGGTACTAATGAATCATCTTTCAAGCTGGCTTTCTTCAAAATTGTTAAAAGAAAATTCAACAAAGATTGAATAGAACTGATATTAATAAAAAAGGTTTGGTAATGATGAAGAGTATTATTTTATGCATTAATGAAGTTTTGTCTACCGACAATTTTATGACCATGTGCTGTAAAATCAATTCAGTTTCTTTACACCAATTCATGGTCTATGTTTATCGTCCTCTTTCTTCATTTAGTGTAGACCTGTGGTTCCATGAGGGTGTACTGGTTTAAGCCCTGTGGGGGCCTCTGATGTTCTGTCCCTTGTCACGAGTGTTCGAGTGTTTTTCTCCCATATAGGCTATGGACTATGTTTGTAAGTCTAATATATATACTTAATTTTTAGGTCACAGCATTTGTTTCCCTTGCGTTCATCTTGCTCTCAGTGCTGGACTTCATCCTTTCCAGTCTCCCCGTCTTCCCGGCCACCAGTTCGCCAAACATCATCGAGTACGTCTGTGGCAGTTGTTTTACGTTCGAATTCGTTATTCGACTACTCTTTTGTCCTTCGAAAATAGCGCATCTAAAGAAGCCCATGACGTGGGTGGATGTTGGCGCGCTTGTGCCGTTTTATCTCCAATTCGTAATAAACGCTGCTGATATGGAGAGATTTAAGATATTGATCATGTTTCGACTCTTAAGGATTTTCCGTCTCTTTCGTTTTTCATATCGCCTCCAGATAATGGTATTGGCTTTAAAAGGCAGTCTGCACGAGCTTGGCTTGTTGCTTTTGATTTTAGCCATATCAGTCGTGTTTTTTTCCACACTTGTATTTTATGCAGATGGCGGTGCTACAGGGACGAAGTTCGTCAACATTCCAACCTCGTTTTGGTGGGCCATCATCACGTTGACAACCGTTGGCTATGGTGACGATACACCAGTCACGTGGCCAGGTCGTGTCGTCAGCAGCGCATGTGCATTGTGGGGTGTCTTAATGATAACGCTGCCTATCTCGATTGTTAATAGTAATTTCTCGTTGTACTACGCACATGCGAAAGCAATGCTTCGTTTGCCTAAAAAGGTTGTAAAGGATACCTTCCCTCCAGGCACCAAGAGATACCTCGGTGTTCTTTCTACCATATCTGAGATGAACTTGACAGGCCGGCTTGCAGACCGGGAACTCAAATTCCGAGAGGGAATTGCCAGTCCCTCTCAGTCGAATATCAACCTGGCCGTTGGGGCACTGAGAATGAGTTCAAGGAAGAGCATCAGTACCAAAGTTGCCCGGATGAAGAGACTTGGAAATAATAAATTCCAGCTTCTATCGATACTCAAGCCAAGCCGCCATTCTGATATTGTCCAACCTTTTACTAGATACAAAAGGAATTATTCGACTGAAACAGTGAATATTGGGCTAATACCGGCTGAATGGGATGGAGAATTAGAAGATTTGTATGGAGAGAATATGAAGAGTGAAGATGAGGTGGATAGCAATTGTGGTTTGAATGATGCTATCCGTGAACATGTTGATGACCATGTTGAGGAGTGTTTGCACAACGAAATGAGGAGATTAAGCAATGATGACAGAGAAATGAGCCTTAATCCGTTGAAATGAGAGGAAAAAATTACAGATAGCCGCCTGGCATGTTAACGATCTAAGAACGATTAATTATTAATGGGAAAATAGTCACCTTTTAGTAGTAATTCAGTCGTGCATGTCGTTTGAATAATGACTTTTGAACAGAAAAATTCTACAAGGTCCTTCTCATTGGAACTCGTTGCGCATATTATTTAAATGGTAACCTCTGAACAGAAATAAACGATAAAGGCGAATGATTTTCTTAGTAGACTAACTTCGTGCATGTCATTTGAATGGTGACCCTGGACCACTAAATAACTGATACCTATTATTTAATAACCTAATACAAGGATAAACACTTTGTAATTTGTAATGCTTAAAGGGATTTACGCATGTCATTTATATGATACCCTCTGGCTATTAGGAAGACTGTCTCCACATACAGTCAATGTCATTAACGTTGTCCAACGAAAAAAGACATTCAGACATTTACACATTTACATGCACATTTAGACATTTAGACTAAAAGAAATATCAGGTGTTTCCTCGAACGTTCTGGCATAAAACAAACGCTGAAATACCTTTCTCCATCTTAAATCATCACTAAATGGTCGGGGCATTCTGGATTTTCGATTCGCGAGTTGAATCTTACATTTAAAGTTCAGGCTGACGCACACGAGGCAAAGAAAACATAATAAAAACGTGATATTTCTTTTAGTCTAAATGTGTAAATGTCTTTTTTCGGTGGACAACGTTAATGACATTGACTGTATCTTGCAAACAATAAATCATCAGTCAGCAAACAAACAAGACAAACCACTTCTGACTTGGCTATCAAACGTTTGATAAAGAAAGTCTTTGTTTGTTTGTTACTAAATATTTACACCTGACCTGCTTTTATCAACTAAACAACTTTAATTGCTATTCGCTTTCGTAACATGAATCGTCAGTATTGAATGAAACTTTAGAAAATGTTGAATCAAATTAATCTTTCAAACATGTTTGAAGATCGTCATACAATGAAATATTTACAAAATCTAATGAATATATGATATGATAAAATCAATTTCAACTTTGTAATGAAGTTTTTGAATTTTGATAAGAATTAAATATAAGACATTGTAACAATTATGTGAAATACTTCATGTCATTCAGTTGCTCTCATAAATTAATTTGAAAAAACAAAACGAAATGTTAGACATAGTCTGACCAATTAGAATTCACGCTTTTTAGATATATGCTTTATATAGGCACGATATACATGAATATATTGCATCGCCGCATGTTAAATCGCATCACATACCCATGTCACGTCACACCACACAGAATCACACAAGTTTTAAATATCTCATTATCATCTCACTTCACATTAAATTCCATCCCATCAATAGAAGCTTTGCACCATCACGTGATGACAGCCAGGAGAGGAGGCACAAGAATAGAGTCTTTCTCCCCTGGGAGACTTAATTCTTTCTCATGTAAATAAGATTAGACCAGATTTAATTGTTGCTGCCTCCTGTCATGGCTGCCATCACTTGATGGTGCAAAACCTCTATACATCACATCAGAACATCACATCTCCATATCACGTTGCGGAGTGACAGAAAATCACACAATATCTCATTACGCTACCCTACGCCACAGTAACAATGCAGTAAACTACAGTAAGACTGCTCTAGTTAGGGGTTTACAAAAAAAGCTTAGTCATGACAAAACTTACGAAAATTTAAAAAATTATCAAAGCCTATTTCCCCACAGTCAACTTTTATTTCCATTCACAAATTGCTAATGGGTATTTCTATCAATACAATTAGTCAAACCATACAAATGTTTTATCACGTCTATCCTTTCCTATCTCACAACGTTTTAAGAACTATATACAAGAACAATGCCGCCAGAACCTTCTAGCTGTCATGGTTTGCTAAGGGAATACTACACACGTCTGATAAATATTCATAATATTCATTGGTCATACGAATATTGAACTCACTAGATAGACTATATATGTCTATCGTTTAAATATTTCAATAAAATATCATGCCAAAATCTTCGAGATTTTCAGAGGCTTTTTGTGGCAAAATATGCACAACATGAAAATGAACGAATGAACGAATGTATGCTTTTATATTTACATAGTTTCTAATTCGGTCATTTTTGAATTGTATAATGCACGGGAAGTTTATTTCAGCCAAGAATTATGTTAATAAATGAGTTGTTTCCTCACACGGAGAAGGAATAAGTCAACAGTTTGTGAACTGTAAGTAAAGCTAAAGGAAAATAGGAAGGAAGTCTGACCTCAACTGTCTGTTTTCGTTCGACCTAAGTGGATGTTGTGCCTCTTGGATAACCAGAGCGCATTTAGTGCCCTCTCATTACCTGACATTATTATCTTTTGAATTTAACGCAGTAATTTTGCAGTTAAATACACAATGTATTTTTGGATCGCATGTATGTCATAGATGCGATGTTGGAGGAGAAAAACAAAAATTATCATCCGAAATGGCGGACGTTTCTGTTTTTTTTCGTTTCTGAAATTATCTGTAACATACAACCCTTCGGCTACCCCTGAGGGGCAAAGCACCGTGATCTGAAATGAACATTTAAACGGAAAATCAGGTCTCCTCAACAGGAGCCGGTAAAGTTACCGATATCCTATCAACCTCTATCGGCGAATTATTCCCGCTCTCCCCAGGGGGTGGGGAAACTGGCAATGTATTATCCCTGGGTGGTGACGTCAAGCTGCGGTCCCGTTTTGTCGTGTTACTGTACAGCCCGGGCGTGGCCGGAGCGCTGGAGGGTCGGTCCTGGTACCCATCATCGTAGTCCAGAGGGGGCGAGGCATCACGTGTGTTGGTTTGACCAATAGCAGGTAGTTTAGGCTTTATGTATTTTTTCAGCTGAGAATCCTTTGGGACAATGAAATCCCTACGGGGGAGGGCAACGTTGGTTTCTGCGTCATCACGAATCATGACGTATTGGTTAAAATGAGTTGAAGTGGACTTGACGGATCTGCGGAATGGATGCATTATAGTATGACTTCCTCCACAGTACCGCTGTGATGGAGGCAAGTCGATCAAATCCACCATCCCGGTCATAGCAACTACTTCATTCTTTAACCTCTGGGCCGAATACGGCAATTCTGCATTAATCACCGCTTTTCTTAGGCTTGTGTTCATTTTGGAGTGTTGTCGAATATGTTCTAGTTCATAGGTAGTGTACGGTTTTGAAGACTTGTGGCTCGGCAGTCCCTGCATTTTGGGCATGTTGGAATTGACCGGTCCTTTATTGACCTCTAGTGGTCTATCACATGATATACAATGGACTTTTTCTGTTATATTCCTGAAGAAAAAAAATTACCACTCCATTAATAAACAATACTAGGAATTGCCCAAAAACAGAACAGTTCTTAATATTTTTAAATTAAAGAAAAAGGTACACATTTCAGGTCGCCCATCCAGGTAGTAACCCCGCTCAACCGAGCTTGGCTCATTATTTTGCATCTCCAAGTTTTCCCCCGCTGCGCCACGGTTCCGGGGAGGGGGACTCCCTTATGAAAGGGGGCGGGGGTCCTCGTCACTGCCACGCCCATCATCCCAAAATACAGGTCCCTTTTAGGGGTCATTTTCGGAATTTCCGACGAGGACCCCCGCCCCCTTTTATAAGGGAGTCCCCCCCGGAGGTTCCAAGAAATTTGCATAATAATACCAGTGAAAACAATGCACCAGATAGACTACACTTTTTAGCTACAAATTTTCAACCGATTCCGTGCGTGGCAGAGATGCAAGGGATTAGCCGATATGGTCTGAGGGCCGGCTGGTCTCTCCCCTGATGCTTCGCCTAGAACATTTTCTTGCGTAATTCGTACACCCAAGGGCAGAAGGATTTAATTGCCGTCAGGTCCGAAGTCCATACGCCACCTCAGCTCTGCGGATGTTTCGGGGGTATGGCACCTTGGAATCAAGGATTATTTTTGGAATTATTTACTATTTTTTCAGATAATCACTTGGGTTCGAATCCCATTGTGTACGGATAAGCCTTTTTTTTATTTTACATCTTTTTATATTCTAATTTTGCATCGAACTCAAACACCCGATCTGTTTTCAATCAGCCGAGCATCATCTGTTCATCGATCCGAAAAATAGAGCTTGCAATTGGAATTTGGAAGTTGATTTTTGCGAAGGGAGTAAAAGCGGAGAAAAACCTTCGAAGCACAGAAGAGAACCAACAAACAATTCATTCTACTCACATACGACACCGAGCTCATGAACTGTCTAAATTCTAATTCGATCTATCGGCTGCCTTATCAAGTGAACTGTAAAACCTGTTAGGCTGTTAACCGTGGAGTGGTAAATTAGAAGGGAAAAAAAAAAAAAAAACCAAAAAAAAACTAGAAAATCTCTCAATACCTTCTAAAGCCTGCAGGTTCGCCATCCTCAGGTTTTTCTTTCACTACAGTTTTAGTGATCTGAATCTCCTTGATGCGCGATTCCAGCTGAGATTTCAGATTATCGAGTTCATTGCGATCGAGTTTTAGAGACAGTTTGGACTGCAGTTCTGATAAGGTATGCTTTAATGCGTCTTCTACAGACATCTGTGCACAAAAAATAAAACAATAACAATTAGGATTGATAAAACTGACTTGTTCGTCATTGTCGCTTAACAAGTAAGTGGGGATATTATCTTATCTATTGGGACGTCTTTCTTGGTACTTCAATCAGGCGAATACAAATGGTATTTCTTTGCCTCACAAGGGTACCTCGTTCAATGCCTTACCTAGTTGGAGAGAGAAGAGTTTCTTCTATTGAAGATAAGGAGTACTTTGTGCAATGGTTGGGCGGGTGAAAATATGGTTCGCTATGGTCATAAATGAAAGTGGATGGAATGGGTTGGGTCGAATTGGGTGGAATGAGATAGAATGGAATGTGATGGGTTGGGATGAGATGAGAAGGAATGGGATGGATGGGTAGGATGGGATGGATGGGTGGGTGGGATGGAAGTGGATGGGATGGAAGTGGATGGGATGTGGTGTGGTGTGATGGGATGGGATGAGATGAGATGGGATGTGGTGTGATGCGATGGGATGGGATAGGATGGGATGGGATGGTTAGTGGTATTTTCTCGCAGTGTAAGGAGCAACTCAGCTATATCTTACCTGGCTTTCCATCTTTTCCCGTGCGTCACTCAAACCACGATCAAGTAAATTGAACCCTTCGTCAAACTGGTTCATGCTTACTTTACTCTCCAACTCCATTTTGACAGCTTTGACATTAATCTCTTGGTTGACGTCTTGTTTGTCTGCATTGTTCTGCTGGAGTCTCTCCACGTTATCAACGAGTTCTTCAAATGTCTTTTCTCTTCTGTTGTACTCGTTGACTAACTCTGCTGTGGTTGATGTTAGCTTCTCGTGTTTTGATTGTAGTTCTAGGACCATGCTATGTACATGGTGGACTGCGTTGAAGCCTTCGGCATCCTAATCATGATAGCAACAGGAGATATCAGTCAGTGAATATGTGGCAAAGATGGGTACCTATAGGGCTATGATCACCCTGAAATAGCCTCTGGGCTGATCTAAGTCAGGGCATGGCTAACTCACAGATAGAACCCTGAAACAACCTCTCTGCTGATCTAAGTCAGGGCATGGCTAACTCACAGATCGATACCCTGAAACAACCTCTGGGCTGATCTAAGTCAGGGCATGGCTAACTAACAGATCCAACCCTGAAACAACCTCTGGGCTGATTTAAGTCAGGGCACTGCTAACTCACAGATAGAACCCTGAAACAACCTCTGGGCTGATCTAAGTCAGGGCATGGCTAACTCACAGATCGATACCCTGAAACAACCTCTGGGCTGATCTAAGTCAGGGTATGGCTAACTCACAGATTGAACCCTGAAACAATCTCTGGGCTGATCTAAGTCAGGGCACGGCTAACTCACAGATCAAACCCTGAAACAACCTCTAGGCTGATCTAAGTCAGGGCATGGCTAACTCACAGATGGAACCCTGAAACAACCTCTGAGCTCGAGTTTACGAAGAGTGGATGGCGCTATACGACAGATAAACCTTATCCAATGGATGAATTTTTTGGATCCACTGGATAAGGATTTATCTAATCAAAGTTATTGCAAGGCTTGGCAAAGATCGGCTTGGAATATAGTGTGTTGGGATTAGCGGAGGGATAAAAAGCGGAGAAAAACCCTCGAATCAAAAGCAAGACCCTACAAACTCTACTCACATGTGATGCCAAGTCTAAGAATCAATCCGAGACCCCAGAGGGGAGAGGTGATTGCACTACTTCTACGCCACCCTTGGAACCCACCTAGTGTGTTCTAGTTACCTGTGCCTTTCTTGCAGCTCTAAACAAAGACAGCTCTCTTGCAATCTGATTAATGGCGTGTTTGTTCTTCTCCATGTCTTTACGGAATTCATCATGAGACTTAGCAATATTGTTCTTCATGTTGTTCATCTGTTCAAGGCTGAGTCTCAGAGCATATGCTTGAGCCTCAGGGTCATCAGCAGCGTTTTCTAAAGCTGCTTCGATTTCTTCCATAATCATTTCGTCCATTGCCGCTTGTTCTTCAGCAGAGTCAAGTGATTCCGAGGAGCTTGTATCATCAGCGTCATCGTCCTTTTTGTCATTCTTGTCCTTCTTGTCCTTCTCATCCTTCTTATTCTCATTTGTGTCATTTTCCATTTCAGCTTCTCTCGCTTTGATCTCTTCAACACTCACTCCCTCCTCTCGAGCTTTCTTCCTGAGCTGAAGGTCTTGTAGTGTGGTACGTTTCTTTAGTGGGGCTGGTTGGTCGCCATCCTGGCTCTCAGGTCTGCTACCTGCAGCTCCCTTCAGCGGTACTCCTGCTTTTCGCCCTTCCTTACGAGAAGGAGTTCTCCCCTTCCCTCCATCAGTAGCAGCAGCAGCTCGCTGACTTGGTGGAGGTATGACAGCTGGAAGGACAGCTGCACCAGCAACTGGAGCTCCTGGGGCTGATGTCACAACACCACCGGGTCCTACCACAGCTTGCCCTGCTGCTTCCCCTCCGACTACAGCTCCTCCCTCGGTAATGATACCAGTCTGAGGTACTTCTTCGGCACCTTTTTTTCCTTTCTTCTTCTTCTTGCTTTCTTTAGGTTCATCTTTAGGAACGAGCTCTACCGTCGTGATCTGCTGTTGCGCTTGATCTAACTGAGCCTTTAAGATCTCTCCAACTCCATCACCAAAGTCAACCTGATTCACCATTGAATCAACTATATTTCGTAGACCCTTCAAACCATTCTCTACAGCGTCGAGTCTGCGTGTTAGGTTAATAACCTCAGGCATGTCTCCTATGGTATCTGCAGTGAGCTTCTTTTTCTCCTTCGAATCTTTCCCATAGAGATCTTTTCCGTACAACGAACTACCAGACGTCTTTTCTTTGTCTTTTTTACTGCTTTTCTTACTTTCTTTTTCATCGCCATCTTTTTCTGACTTGGATTTCGATTTATCTTTGCTCTTTTTGTCTTTTTTCTCTGATTTATCTTTATCTTTTCCCTTCTCTCCTTTTTCTTTTTCTTCTTTCTTTTTCTTTTTCTCGGCAGGTTCTTTGATTACTTCCTTCTGTATTGTCACCGTCACAGTTTTCTCATTGCTGTCTTCATCAATAACTACTTTCTCAACTTCTTCTTCAATAATCTGAATTTCTGGCTCCCCTTCAGATTCACTTTCTAAATAAAACAATATAATAGCAAGACTCAAATTTAATCGCATAGGTTTTTAACAGAATAGCGCACTTTTATATTTTTGTTCCCATTGGCCAGAATTTTCAAGAAAAATTCAGGTTGTTTTATGTCTGAACAGACATCGTGAATTATTTTTGTTTGTTTGTGTATTTAAAGATCTTTTAGATCGGACATTTTAATCAGATTTCTATAAATATAATTTAAACAATGCTTCATGCTTCGTTTTCTACTCTGATATTCAAAGCTGCACCGAATTATTTCTGCACATTGAGTTGTAACGTAACATCGCCTCGTATGGAAAACGCGTCATGTTTTCCTGCAAAAACACAACGTATTTTGTTTTACAAATATTAAGGAAACTCAGGTAAAAACAATTAAATAAACACGTACAATACCCGTGCGAAAATTGAACTATCAAAGATGTCCCGACAACCGAATTCTAGAGGCATCCATATGAAGTTTCGAAAAATCAACATTTTATTTTCTTTTACATTTATTTTCTTTGGCTTTGCCGGATCTCGAGTTTCGTTTTCATAAGAGAGGGGTTTATTTCTGGTAATACGAAAAAAAAATGTCGAGACAAAACGCGGGATTTGTCATTTGTCATTTGTTAATATAATGATGCTTAGTCATGTTGCTCCAAAATCCATACAACTGAAGAAAAGTCCAAACACGAGTAATTTAGAAGAAAGCAGTTTCAGTTCATTATAGCTCGACTTTTAGGATCTAAATATAGCGTGTGCTATAGAAATATCGATGGTTAGGGGTCAAAACGTCAGTCCTTCTACATCAATATACTACCAATACCAAAATCATCGCACCTACTTGTTGTGTTATTAAGCTATCTATTTCTTTTCTTATATTCATTTCTTTTCGCAATAAAAATATTACTTCAAATAATAAAAAACGATTACAAAAAACGCAAAAAAAAAAAAAAACACGCTTTATTTAGCGTGATTTAAGGTCAGAAATAAAAGATCTCATGTTTTTAAAGCAAGGAGAGTACAATTCGAGGAGAATAAAACCTCATGTATGACGAATGAAAGCGATAGAAAACGTCAAAAACGTTTTACGAGAAAAATGGTTATCTATATGTAAAGGAAAATTGTACAAAAGAACTTGAAGGTGTGCAGGAATGCGTTAGGACACTTCTTCCAAAAACTATCAATCAGACACAGTTTGTAACGACACAAAAGCCCTAAGATGGAGTCGAAAATCTCTTAAATTAAAAAAGATGCCTCGTATCGTTAGACTTTTAGTAATTATGGTTCACGACTGGTAAAAATTGAAGGCATAAATCGAGCAATTAACCAGACTTCACGACAACAGTAAACAATTCATATCTCAGTCAACAATGTGGTAATCGCAAAGGTAATAGAACTAATTGTACATACACTTCCATCATCTTTCGATCAATATACCCAATAACAGTTAACTCACCTTCATCGCTATCGTCGTCTTCTTCTTCACTGCTTTCCTCGCTGGATGATCCATCAGAACTCGCTAATCCACCAGGAGCTATGACTTCAGCCTGTTGTGCCTCTACGTCTGCGATGTCGAAATGTTCCACTAAAGTGTGAAGCAAATTTCTTAAGTGAAAAAAGTTTACTGGTCCAATTTCAGGGCTGATGGCCAGGTCCAACAGATCCCCTACACCAATCGTCATCTTAAAACGTCTCAAGCTTGTTTTTATGGAGGAAAATTCGAGGCAAAATAGGGATATAGGATTCAAGTCATTTGGTAGTTTGAGGGTCAAAGAAGTGGTCGTAGTTGCACTAAACAAATGTACTTCAAGTAAGCACTAAGCAACACTGATCCCAAGAGGTCCATATCATTGTTTATAGTCACCGAACAAAAACCACTGCCAGATATGAGATTAAAAGCTTTACAAAGACGCCATTGACTGGTTCTTAGGATCCATCTCACTTCTAATTATCCTCGTCTTGAGTTAAGATCGCCATTGTGTGTTGCCATGGTGATGGACAATGAACTCGTCGGTGTTAATAGGTCTTGAGATATTAAACGTGCAACTGGATTAATAATAATAATAATAATAAACTTTATTACTGTGTCATGTCGTTCTAGCTTATT